ATAATAATGGTAATGTGTAGATAATATCATATTTAGTATACATATCTTGACTGTGGCAGAGCCTAACTTGTCAAGAATAATGGTAATATATTCATATTTAGTATATTCATCCACATATCCTTGACCGTGGCAGAGCCTAACTTGTCAAGAATAATGGTAATATATTCATATTTAGTAAAATATAGTAATTTTATGTAATATATATATATATATATATATATATATATATTATATTCCTACCTTTCTTGACCGGGTAGAGCGCTCGTGCTGATAACGTGTTATGAAATGTGAGGAAGATAAAGAACACAATGTAAAAACTAGATATAAATCACGAGATGCTTTTTCTTTCTTTCTTTCTTCTTAGTTTCTTTTCGTACATCCCCACTACAATGGTTTGACCACCTTTTATAGGCAAATGGGCTCACTTTTTTATACATATAAGATAAGTAATAAAATTATTAGTGGTAAGATTCCACTTGTTACAACACAAATAACATAAAAACAACTTACCATCAAATAATAGTTAGAATTTGAATTCTTGTCACCATACACAATTTAAGAACAAAAGTACAAAAAAACAAAATGGAACAAACATAATGTTCAATAAAATTAATCAATAATCCAGCAAAATTTAAAAAGGCACAACAAGTGCAAATCAAGAGATTGTTAATTGATGATTAAAATTATGGCTATTGAAAAATAAGTATAGTACATTGCAAATAAAATTACCGGCCTTCGGCGTCTGCTTCCCGCATGCGGCGGACCTTGCCAAGTTGCTTCTCTAATGGAGTAGCATTGGACAAATGGTGCATCTACAGACGATGCTGGACTTGTGGCCGCGACATTGGTGCCGAATTTTAGGGGAGTTGAGGGTCGGAAGATGGCGTATGACGGCGGAGAAACAAACTGGAACCACACACACACCATTTTAATTGTCGATTTCGATCGTCGGCAATTATCGTGTGTGAGATTCTTGAGAAAAAAATAATAAAAAATTCTATTTTTTTCATGGATGTGTGCGCGTGAATTTAGAAGAAAAAAGAAACAAAGAGAGAAAAAAATGGAGAAAATGATGGCCGGGGGATGAAAAATGGTAATCTACGAGATGAAAAAAGAAGAGAAGAAGAATAAGGGGAGAGAGGAAAAAAATTGGGGAACAAAATCGGTGGAGAAGGTTTACAGAAAAAAAGAGAGGAGCGAGAGGAAAAAAACTGTCACACCAGTTTGAACGAGTATTCAATCTTAAAAATGTCTTACAAAATTATTGTAGGAAGAAAATCGGGTAAAAATGGAATTGAGAATCAACTATAATAAATTAGTTACAAATTATTTAGAATATGTCATTCTTTCACAGTATATAGCCAAGACTCTAAATACGCCAAAAAAATCACATGCCTACACATGTCCAAACACAAAACAAAAACGAAAAAGGGAGAAAAACAACATTCAAAGAGTCTGAACCGGGGCTGAAAGTTGCCCCACGAACAGTCTGCACCACAAAGTGGGGCAGAGCATGATAAAACCAAAACGATTACTAGAATTTGAACAAGGATAGCCATGGTTGTCCATGCGCACAAGAGTACGGATGCGGAGAGGAGCGTTGTAACGCCAATCAGAGTAAATTTTTTGAAAAATCAATTTAAAGATTTATTTAACGGACACTACTCCACATATCAACAGTTAAGTCAACACTTAACCTGCGGAGAGTACAACCATCCCGATAATCATCTCACAGGGAATACAACCATCCCGAATAAATATCTCATGCCAACATATCATGTCACAAATAAATCCCAACATAAGAACATCAGAATTCCATTTCAAACATGCATAATAACCCAAATACATGGTCCGATTTCCAAAGCAAATATTCCAACATGGTTCAGTTTCCAACATCAATAATAAATAAGTCTGCCAATGAGATAAATAATAAATAAACAAGCGGAAGCAGGTAAACTGTTCAATAGCAAATAAATGACCCGCATCGCTCGTCTTACGCCACGGCCACCAGCTCAACCTGAAAAGAGAAATAAAAGTGGGAGTGAGCAAACAACTAGCTCACTGTGGGAATACCATGCAGTATAACCAACATAATGACTTAAAAAAAATAATATCAGTATGAAAGCAGATCGACTAGTCTACCTCCAGTCCGTAACAGCCCTACACTCATGTGATCACATCTAAACTGTCGGAAAAAACCCATCAACGGGAGAATACTCTCTATAGGATAAAGTTAGGAAAACATCGGAAAAAACCTATCAACGTGAGAACCTCTCATAGACTAACGGTTCACATGCATACATAGACGATCAAGTCAAGCAATTATATCAATTAACATACACGGTAAGGTTTATCAACACCCACCTGGTAAATCAGATAGGCAAAAGCACAATGATTAGTAGTATGCAGAGGCTCGACTCCTCCAACACGTACATTTAAGCGAGATAATATATATCACTAATCTATCTCATTACTCGGGAATAATAAAAAACCCACACTTAATCAAAATTAAGAATTTTGAGTGTTTATCGAATTTTTCGTGGACTTGAGGCTCTCGGAAAATCTATAAATATAGGACTCGTCTACGAAAAAGGTTCATGGGACTTAGAATAATTTTTCCCGAGTTTTTCTCATTTTATAAAATTTATAGAAACGGGTTCGACACAAAAAATAGGCTCCGGTACACAAAAATTAGTAACTGGGCCGCGCTGAACAAATTTGCCTCGAATTTGGCCTCGCGCGGATATTGGGCCGCACATATGCACATGGGCCATGGATTTGGCCTGTCACGAAGACTGTTGGAATACTGGCTGAAGCAGGCTCGCGAACCTTCGTGCGGGCTGAGGATGCTGACAAATGTCGGGCCGCGCGTGGGCTGGTGCGGGCTGGACGACCCACGCGACTTTCTCTTATCCCTGGGCTGACAGGCCGCACGACATGGGCTAAGAATTGGGCTGCGGTTTTAGGGCTGCAGGTTTAAAAAACAAAAAAACAAATGCATTGGGCCACATAATAAAATTTTTCTAGCCTGCGAACAAGAAAAAATGGCTTGTGCTACTATATTAAACCTGGGCTGTGATTAAATCAAAATAAATGGGTCTAGGATTGGACTGTCGCTTTTACAAGCAGCGGGGACAGAGAGTCGGCAGCTCCAACAGAAAGTTTCCGGCAACGGTTCGAAGATAGTTCTACGCGATAAAATAAAAAATCGTCGAACAATAAATCTATTATTTAAAATAATTCTACATATTCACATTCATCACAAAATAAAATAAAATTACATAATAATCAAGAACAATTAAGCATATAGCAATTTACCATTCAAGCAGACAAATAATTTAAGGCAAGAACTAGCAATTAATAATGAATGAGCAACAAACAATATAAAGAATCGAAGGCAAGGTCAAATAAATGCAAATAAATAATCACATAAATCCCAAAAATTTTAATAAACGAAAGGGGTACTACAATTTACCCTCCTTAAAAGATTTATGTGTCTGGAAATACAAAAGAAAACAAACCAAAATAGAAAATTCATGGTACAACTAAATATACAATGGAGACCACTCAGAATATAAAGTTCGGGTACTTCCTCCGAATATCGGTCTCTCTCTCCAAAGTCGCCTCGCCCTCGCCATGCCGGTTCCACTACACCTTGACGAGATCAATCGCCCGGTTCCTCAGCTGATGAACCTTCCGGTCCAGTACGACAACCGATACCTCATCATAGGTAAGATCTCGCTCGACCCGCAACTCGCCAAAGTCCACTACATGCTCGGGGTCATGCACGTATCTCTGCAACATCGAGACATGGAATACGTAGCACCACTGAAAAGTCAGATGGTAAAGCCAACCGGTAGGCTAAGTCGCCGACTCGCTCGAGAATCTCAAATGGCCCAATAAAGCGCGACTGAAGCTTCCCCCTCTTCTCGAAGCGAATCACATCCTTCATCGGTGCAACCTTCAGGAAGACATGATCACCTACCTCAAACTGCAGGTCCTTCCTATGCTTGTTGGCGTAGGACTTCTGCCGATCCTGGGCGGCCTTGAGTCTCCTTCGGATCAACTTAACCGGCTCCGCCGTCTTCTGGATGATGTCCGGACCCAGAAATATCCTTTCGCCAACCTCATTCGCATACAAAGGGGTTCTAACATTCCGCCCGTACAATGCCTCATACGGCGACATCTTGATCGATGCCTGATAACTTTGTTATAGGCCAACTCGACCAACTTCAGGGACCTCTCTCAGGAAACACCCCTATAAAAAACAACAAGTCTCAAAAGATCCTCCAGAATATGGATAGTATGCTCCGACTGCCCGTCGGTCTCGGGATGATATGCGGTACTAAAAGCTAAGTTCGTCCCCATGGCTAGGTGCAACTCCTCTAGAACTGCCTGGTGAAACGCGGGTCTCGGTCGAAAACGATCTCAGCCGCCACTCCATGGAGTCGAACTATCTCGTCAATGTACAGCTCGATGTACTGCTTCATCGTCATCGTCATGGTCACAAGCAGAAAATGTGCTGACTTGGTCAGTCGGTCTACGATCACCCAAATGGCATCCTTCTCGGATCTCGATCTAGGTAAGCCTACCACGAGTCCATCGCAATCTTCTCCCATTTCTACTAGGGAATATCCGGTGGACGAAGTAAACCAAACGCCTTTGGTTCTCAGCCTTCACCCGCTGACACACCAAGCAGCCATCTACAAATTTTGCCACTTGCCTTTTATACTTCTCCACTAGAAGGATCCTTTCATGTCCTGATACATCTTCGTACTCCCAGGGTCAACAGTGTACGGGGCACTATGTGCCTCTCTCAGAATCTTCCGTCGCAGTTCCAAAACCTTTGGAACACAAAGTCTACCTTCAAAGAATAAAGCCCCATCAGATGCTACTGCGAAACTTCCAACCCTGCTGGCCTCCATCAACTCTCACATCCAGCATAAGAAATTATTATTCATTTTCTCGGCGACTATTCTCTTGCAAAGAGTCGGATGAAGATGTGGTCATCAACCCATCCGAGCCTGAGGATGAGATGACCGATGGCTTAGAGGAATGGCGCGCGAATAGGCGCAAGCAGGGCAAAAGGGTGCGCATGTGCATAAGGAGGTGCGCGCATGGCAGGCGCACGATACGCGTGTCGGCAATACGCATCAGCTGAGCAGCAAGGCGCGTGAGTCTTGGACGCATGAGGAAGGACTACGCGACAAGAAGGCGACACGAGGAGGCACAGTGGACCAGAGCCGAGTGCACGATAGCGGGTTCGGGCGATGCGGTCGACTGGTGCAAAGCGTGCGCAAGGAAACGACGCGCGCAACGCATGGAGGCTAAGGAGACAATAAGGACGGGCGG